TCAATGCTTAAAAAGATGGCTTTTACCCATTGCTATAACTGAAAATAATCATTTGAAAAATTTAAAACAGTTCTGTGCAGGGAGGGTCCCCGTTTTAGTTCACCCCTCCCTATATAGAGCACTTAAATTGACCTTCCCCTGAAATATCGGCGGTATCTCCCAAGACGGCACCATCAAGACTGAGATGGGCCATGAGTCTATGGAAGAATGCGGTCGGTATCCTTACCCCGTCCATGTTCACACCAGTAGTTCAACCCCAATCAGGCTTCACTATGGCTCTCTGGTTAGCTAGTGTAAATGTCCGGGGCCTGAGGTCCGAGTCTCGCAGGGCGAGGTTCTCTCGTGACCTTCAGCGCCTCCCCGGATGTGTGTTGTGTGCAAGAGACCCGGTTTTCTTCTCATGACTGTGAGAACATTCTGTCTAGGGGGTTCGCCCTTTATTCAGCATGTTTTGATGGTCGTTCAAGGGGTGTCTCTTGGCTAGCTCTTTGAAGGCTGCATGTACCCTTGTCTTCGCGGATCCGGCGGGCAGGCTTTGCGTGCTGGATGTTACCATAAAGGATAAGGCTTTACGTCTCATTGGGGTTTATGCGCCCAATATCCATTCCGAGCGGCCTGCTTTGTTTCGGCAGATCGCGCCGTACTTGACGACGTCTCGTTGGGTAGTTTTAGCGGGGATTGGAATGCCGTCTTTGACCCCGATATAGATCGTATAGGGCAAAAAAAGGTACTAACAACCTGGACGTGAAACCATTTCGGGGCTTTATCGATGAGTTTGGTCTCGTCGATAAGTACCGAAATGAACACCCCCTTTTTTTAGCATGGACTTGGACTAATAGTGGCAACTCGGCTCCTGGCTCGATTGCGAGCTACCTGAACCGAGTCTTAGGAGAGTCGATGTAGGGCTCTTAGGGTGTCCAAGCTTCCACTATATAGTTTATACGGATCATTTTTGTCTGGGTCCGTGTAAACTTGAATAAGCCTAGGGTAGACTAGCTGGTTACTGGAAACTTAACTGTTCACTTTTTGGTGAGCAGGGTTTCCGGGACCAGCTGCTGCTAATCATTCAGAGGGAATAAAGGGGCGGTTGTAGGAAAGGCCTGGTGGGGCAAATTAAAATCCAAAATTAGAACATTTGCTGCCGATTTTAGTCGTCGACTCAATCTAGATAGATTAGCGGCGCAAACGGCTTTAGAAGAAAAAGTTGATCGTGCCGTGAAATCCCGTGTTAGTGGGGACATAGTCTTAGCTAAGGCAGAGTTGGCCTCCTTGCTTATTAAGTAAGATCAAGCTCTGGTAGTTAGGGCTAGGCTAAAAAGAATGTCTTCTGAGGCGATGAACATGGCCGCTGAACTGCGTGCAGAGGAGAATAGAAACGCGTCTAAGCGACATATAGCGGGCGTCACATTGCCGGATAAGCGGACCGTGACTACAAACGCGGGCATATGCGAGGCATTTCGGGATTACTTTCAGGATCTTTTCACCAGGGAGCCCGGTCTGAGCTCTGCTCAGTTCGACGCCTATTTAGCTGACTTTCCCTGCCTTGAGGCAGCTGAAGAGGCTAGGTGCGAGGGTCCCATAACAGAGTCGGAAATCTGGGAAGCGCTGAAGCAGGTTGGCCTGGATAAGTCTCCGGGACTAGATGATCTTCCCTACGAAGTGTACTTGAGACTGTCGCCCGTTTTTGTTCCTTTGCTGCAGCTGATTTTCAACCACTGGATGAAGCAGGGGTCTTTATCTCAACGCTTCACCAGGGGTGTGATCAAGTTGCTGCGTAAGGACAAGGACGGTGGGGATGGGTTAGGGAACTTTCGCCCTTTAACGATGTTAAATACGGACTTAAAGATTTTGGCGAAGATCTTAGCCAACCGTCTGCAGCTTGTCCTGTCTCGTCTGATTGGCCCCGAACAGACTTGTGCTGTGAAGGGCAGGACTATTCAGGATAACCTTCACATGGTACGCTTGATCTTAGAACAAGTCGGCAGTGAAGCCGCGCTGATCAATTTGGATCAGTCCAAGGCCTTCGATAGGGTTGACCATCGATTTCTGGAGGCTGTTCTTTCGGCGGCCGGTTTCGGAGCCGACTTTCGCTCCTGGATCCGACTCTTGTATGCGACCCCTGGTGCGCTGGTGGAAGTGAATGGGGTAAGATCGAAGCCTTTCGTATTGTCTCGCTCCATTCGTCAAGGTTGTCCGCTATCGCCTCTGCTTTACGTTTTTGCGTTGGAACCTTTCCTTCGCAAGTTAAAGGCTGATCCGGTCCTACGCGGAATTTCGCTGCCTGGTGCTTCCACCTCGGCCAGGTATTCAGCCTATGTTGTCGACGTTTCGGTTCTTGTGTCGAGCAGAGCCGAGATTAACGAAGTCAGCAAAGAGATCAGTGGGTATGAGATGGTGACAGGGGCCAAGATCAACTGCGATAAGTCTATGGGCTTGCGGTTGGGTGCGTGGAAGGGAGTTTCTCTTCCCGGACCTTTCCTCTGGACGGATGGGTCGATCAAGATACTCGGCGTCTGGTTCGGTCCTGATCTCCAGTTGGAAATGAATTGGTCGGAGGTACAAGGGAAGGCCGAGGTCGCGGTTAATCTGTGGTCTCGGAGGAAACTTTCCCTGAAGGGAAGGGCGGAAGTATGTGGTTCACACATATATCCAATTCTCCTGTACCGACTCTCTGTGCTTCCACTCCCGTATGCCCGACTAATATCATTAGTCAAGGTCTTGTTCTCTTTCTTGTGGAGAGGCAAGGCCCATATGGTATCTCGCGAGGTCTGTTGCTTTCATCCCTCGGAGGGCGGTCTGGGTATGCCTAGCATTGAGATTGGTGAGCTCGGTCTTACGAAGCAGGAGGCTCGCTCGATATGGCCTTGGGCGCCTGGCTTGAAATGCCTCAATAACGATGAGGCATCACTCACCTGGCTGGTGATTCGTGAAGCCCTCTGGGTCGGCAAGAGACTCTGTGCAGCAGGCTTGGAGAAATATCCAAACTGTCGTCGCTGTACTGGGGAAGTCGAGACCATTGGTCACGCCTTTTTTCGGTGCAAGGCGGTAGTGCCGTTGTGGAAGTTTGTTGAAGGCCTCATGGTTCGCATGTTGCAGGGAAAGTTTTTTGTTCTTGAAGCTAGTTCTGTTTGTAGCAATGTGGTGCCGCAATTGACGAAGGCTGAACACTATGTGTTCTGTTGCTTACTAGGGGTTATGAGAGTCGTGATTTGGACGACGTGTCAGAAGGGATTCCATGAGGGCGAGAAGTTCACCTCTTCCCAACTGATCTTGTACTTTAAGCATCAGCTTAAAGTCAAGATTAGGACGGAAAGGCGGCGGCTCTCCACATCAGAATTCAGCAAAAGGTGGGTGAATCTTGCGCGTTTGTGCTGTGTAAAAAAAGGGCTGACTTGGAGTGGCATTTTGATGTCGGTTAGGCATTAGGATATTGTTTTCCTGGGTTGAACATGGGCAACCCTTCCCAAAATTTAGGTTAGAGTAGGTTTCTATATTTTTTCGTTTAGTTTTTCTTTCCTGTTCTGATAAAGTTAGCTAGGGTGTGTTTGCTCATTGGTCCCCTTTTATTTCTGTCCCCACTTTTTTTTTCCTTTAGTTTAACTCCCCGTCCCCTCCCTCGTTTAGGTGGTCAGTGATGTCAGTTCTCTGGTGGATACGGGGCGCCTTTCGTTTCGTGCGTGTGCTTTCGTATTTGTTGTTGTGTATGGATGAGTGAGTGCTTGTGTGAGTGCTTGACGGTTTGAATGTGTCTTTATTTTTATAGTCTCGCATCGATTTCGTCCGGTTAACTGATATTTCTGCCACATTCAAAGTTTGTGGGGGTGTTTAATACTAACACTAATTTTGTTTAGTTTCTTGTAAATATATTTCGACATATTGAATATACTCATTGGGGATTTTTTAAAAGTTGTTGTTTTTATGCCCCCCTCCCCCACAGACAATATTTGTACATAAGGGGTGTATTTAGGTTTTTCATTGAGTCAAAAGAGGCATTTTGGTGGATGTAGTAAGAAAGGTATGGATAAATGTGTTGTTTTGGTGATAGGAATATTGTTTAGTATGATAGGGTCAGTGATTGTGGCTAGCTAAGTTTTGTTTTGAGACATGTGATGACCTTCCTTTTCCCCAGCCCCCTTTTCGGCCTTGTGCCACATTTGTACATAGTACAATAAATAATGAGAATTTAAGACGACTAGAATTTGCTAAACGAGTTCACGACGCTTGAATCATTACTACAGCGAAGTACCAAGTTAGGACCTCAAGTTTTTTAACATGAAATAACTTCACTGATATTCAAACGACAATTTAAACGAAACAACTCACTCACCAATTTCTACAATTTACTAAAACTTATTCAATTAGGACATTGAATCTTACGAAAAATAAGTACGAACAATACATTCAACTACGAGCAACAAAAAAACAAACGGAACATTCACTTCTCCAACTTCTTTAAAGCTAAAAGTTTATCAACATATTTTCAACTTTACAAAATTCTCTTTCAGTGAACATTTTGAACGATAAGTTAATTTAGTTTTTGTGAGCTCCGATAAAAAATGTTTTTTTATTAGGAAAAACTTTAGCCCAGTCGAAGGGAGTAACTCATATTATTGTTATTATTGTAAACTGTTGTCATTTATAAATATAAATATTGTACCTGTTAAGATAAGTTATTTTCTTGTATTCTTTCTCTTGTTTGCTTTTTATTTTCTTACACATTCGTAAAGTAAAAAGTGTGTAATCTCATTGTGTATCATGTTTTAATCTTTTATTTGGATATTTTTGAAGTCTATTTTTTCTCATTCTCTTCTATCCCAAAATGCTGTCTTTACTTCTCATACATTCAAATTAAATATACATTAATAAAACCCAAGTAACAATTATGCATTCATAGGATTTAATAGTCATAAAAATGAACCTGAAAATTATAAAATGTGGATATCTGTTTGAATCTAATTATTTTAAATGTAGCTTTCTTATTTCTTCTACTTTTTCTACAGTGTCTTGTATGGCAGGTTTTGAATTAAAAGATGGCAAGGAGTGTCAGATGTGTCACCAAGGTTACTACAAAAATACATCTGGTAATAGTGCTTGCTCAAAATGTCCACTATCCAATACAACAACAGCAGGAAAGGGAGCAACCTCAAAGAAAGACTGCAATTTGGGTAGGCATATCTTTCTGCAAGTGATATTTACAAATATTTGACCTTCACATTTAAGTGAGAAGGTGTTCTGCGTTTTCAAATATATTTTTTACTGTTAGATTAATTTATAGAATTTTGATTGGTTATTACTAAAGTGATGATATGACTGTTACATTTGAACTGTTGTCCTCACAATGTTTCGGCTGTTGTGGGTAGTCAACAGGGAATAACAAACTGAACTCTTTGTTTAATCTACAAGTTCTCATATATTTACATTGCTTGGAATGTTGTCATAATCTTTATTGCCATGTTCATAATGTTTTGGCATTCTTCAGTTGGAATTTTGAACCTTTATTTATTATTTAGTCCATGGGGGTAGATTGCCCTAATTTCACATGCCATGCTTTTTTGGGGTATCCCCTTTAGTAACTCATCTCTCCAAGTTTTGCAGCCAGGTATTGAACTCACAACTCTTTTGGGTCAAGTGACTTTTTGGATCACTGAACCAAGGCTTTGATTTACTGGGCCATGTGTTCAGTGAGTGATCTTCTGGTACTTATAAACCTAATGTTTCAGCAACAATTTTCTTTTGTTATCGGTTTTTTTTCTTTAGCTCACTGTATTACTGGTTCCCATATTAAAGATGTAAATAATGTAAATAGTTACAATACATCATCTCAGAAGTATAAATAGTTGTCTCATCTAGTTCTTATTTTTAGCACTGCACAATTGTTTTCCCTGTTTCCACTGAGTCCAAGTACACATTGCCTGTCCGGGGATTGTACTAAATATAATATAAAGGTGAAACAAGCCATCTCCTAAAAGTAAGGCTGGTGAGACATCGAAAAGCTGTAGTTAGGCATGAGACAATGAAATCAGGTATAGCTGATCCTGAAAGGGGAGAAAAAGGTAGTCATCAGCCCCTGTAGAATCAAGTGAAAATGCTAGACAAGGAAGAACACTGGAGAACTGGATGTCTGAAAAAATCAGTGCATATGCTAGGCTATGAGGATCTGCTTAGTAGGCCTAGAATAGAAATAAATATGATATGGGAGCCACTAATAAAGAAAGAAAGACAAATGATAGCACATCTTCAACATCAGCAGGTGGGTTATGTTTAAAGCTCCAAATTCTGCACAGAGAATTTTCCTGTGGGACACTAGCCTAGTGAGTGAGAAGAAAATGGGTGAGCAATAACTAAACAATATTAAAAATAAAAACAGGACAAGATATCCCTAGACATGGGCACACAGCAACAGGAACTGCCTACTCCCATGGATTAAATATAGGGTTCAATTTGGAATTCCATAGAGATTAGTTTGATGAATGGCCAAGACATTGCAACAAAGATGAGGAAAATAGTCTGAATATAAATAATGTAAATAACGATAATTCCTCATCTCAGAAATTCAAACAGAAGTGCAATGTCATTATGGCTAAATTAATTTGAAACATTCTATTAAAATCTAGCTGAAATTACTTATTCAATCATTTAATGAATAAATATTTAAAAAGATAATTTTTTATTCAAATGAAATAATTTTATAGAGCTCACTTATACAGGGTGTGGTAGGAATAGCTTCCACATATACCTCTTACATAATGATAATACATTAGTGGCAATGGCGTCTTCATCTAGCTAATGTCTTACAATTATGTGGGAGGTATTTCTGCAGCACCCTATATTTTGTTAAAGAAAAATATCAGTGCTTAGCATAAAGTTATTTTGCAAGCTCTTTTAGTAAAATGAAATGGAAAATTTAAAATTTGAATTTGAAATGAAGAATTCTTATTTTAACTTTTTCAGTGTTAATTTTCAGGATAGTCAGGATTTTTATTGTTTCATAACGTTTTTAAAAATTTTGGACATTATTTTTTTAAGGTTAAACAAAGCAAAATGCATTGCACATATAGAAAAAAAAACTGTTTTCTAAAGATATAATTTGGAGGTGTTTAAAAACCAGATAAATATGAATGATTTTGAACAAAATCAAAAACATTATTACAAATTATTTCATTTCTTCCAGCAAACAAATATTTAGATAAATAGATAAATATCAAATGTTTAAACAGCTTTATTAAAAAACAAAACAAAGGACAAATTACATTTGAAAAGAACTAATATTATAACATAGAAATACATTCTGTATTATTCCATCTTATATTCATTCTAGTTTGTACAACACTGTTAGATTTTATTATGTAAGTCAGTTTTCTCTCCTGAAAATTAATATTAATCAACTGATGTTTCAAACAATATACTGTGTGAATTTTTTCTATTAGAAATATTTACAATAACTTAATTGGCAGTATGGGATTTTATGTTCTAGGCTAGTAATAATAGGTCCCTTCATAGTTGATGATAGTATCAAGATAAATGCAGTGAATTATTGGAAGTTCTTGGAAAAGATAATTTTTGAGTGTTAGAGGTCATAACTAAGAAGTTTTAAGCTAAAGAGTCTACAAGAGGATGCCCCTTCACATTTTGCCCACCTTTCCAAAAATGATTTCAAAGATGCCAAATTAATGGAATGACCAAATATTAAAAAATTGTGGTTCATCATTAAAAGAGATGTATGGAAGAATGGAAAATAATGTTCAGGCATTGAATATCTCTGGGAAACAATAAAAACTGCTACAAATAAATTTAAAAATAAAAAGTAAAAAAAGTTAAGATAATCAATAAATGAAAGGCTAATGAAGGATAAAGAATGTCATGAAGTTCATATTAACATGTACAATAATAATTTTCAAGTATAAGAGATATGTTAATCAAATACGTTTGGATTTATTTATAAATAATAATTATGTTGTCCTGTGTGGGATAAAACTAAAACAAGTCCTTGCCAATATTTTGAATAATTATAGATATCATAAGCTTAAACTCATATAAGTATATTCTGTAAATCTTACACTAAAGACACTAAAATAGTTAATAAATTAACATTTTACTTTTAATAAATATTTAAATTTATTTGATATAAGAATTGATAATTTTATTTGTTTGATTTTTGTCTTGTATTTTGTAGTGTTATGTGCTAAAGGTTATTACTTGAATGTTTACTTGGAGACTTGTCATCTCTGTGCACAAGCAACATACAACTCGTTCTATAACCGGAATATTACCTGCCTTCCATGTCCAAAGGATAAGACAACATTAACAATTGGATCAACAAGTCTGGATGACTGCTCTCAGGGTACTTGAAAACAATTGCTTCTTTCATATAAATTTCATGAAAAGCTCTCATTATCTATCAACAGCAGCAGTTCTTAGTAAAATATTTTACTGTTCAATATTTGCAAAGAGAAACGCTATATATTAATATTTGAGGAAATTATTTTCCCTGTTTTGTGCATTCAAAGGCACTTGTACATTTGTACAGTATAATGATTACAAGTTTCTCCTAATATGCCTAGTATCTGTTTCTCCTAATATGCCTAGTATCTGTTTTCAGTAAAAACTGTGCACCTCATTAATTTTTAAATATATCTTGAGAAAAATTAATTTCTTCAGGAAACTAATGTATCTTTCTATTTCTTTGCATTCTAAACTGTTTGATGATTGGGTTTCCTAAAGAAAGTTAATTTTGACAGTGATAAAATATTTTTATCAAATATAGATTTATTTTGGTTCTAAAATGAAACACTTTGTAAAGTTTTTCACTTTGTAAAATGAGTGATATACACAGAATATAAGATTGCAACATCTGGAATATGTATTTCAATTTACACAGGATAAAAAGTGTACAGGTAATGTAGGTAAAGGATAAATTATACAGATCAATATTCTTCTTTCCCATAGATATGATCCTAGAGATGGTGGATATAATCCTATAATACATTATTCTTTTGCATGTGTGAACACAAGAGTTAACTAAAGGTTAACTAAACATATCAGGCATCATCCCAACATGTTTCATATATGGTCGCTGGGAACAGGTATGATGATTGTGTCAACTGTGGATATTGGTAGATATCTTGCAAATCATGTGAAGTAACACAGGCATCATTTGGGCAGGCATTATCCTATAAGAACAACATATTGTCTTCATGTTGCAGGAAAGGCAGCAGAACAGGTTGAAAAATATTCTGGACATGCATTCAATATTTCTTCCATAAATACCAAAGGCAAGCAAGAGTTCTAACTTATGTCATTTCACACCATATTACCAGAGTTTGGGTTTGTGGGTTGTGGGCAAATCTACTCTGGAAGTAATTGTTTCCCCAAGTCACTATGAAACATGCAAACTATGATCACTTGCATGAAGGCAGCACTTGTTCACATTATGGAGCACTATAGATTGTCATTTGGTTTCCCAGTTGACCCTCTTGTGATATCACTGGAGACATGCACAATGGTTTTATGCCATAAGTGAAAGAAACAGACTTGCCTGTAGTCCTGCTGCAAGTAAATGATTTCTCAACAGTCTGTGTTGACACTCTTGCTATGAACAGTACTGTAGATGCTACATGATCTGCCACTTCTGCCCTTATGAAATTTTTTGATCCAACATGTGCCAAAGTAACCACTTATCACTCAAAGCCCCAAAATCTGATCTAATTGAACAAAAGGAATGTGTGTGTATTATGACATAACAGCTGTTTGCACTGGACTCTTTTATGACACTGAACCATATCACAGCATATATCACTGTCTGAAACTCACACAGACACTGATATGAATATTGCTATATCACAAGATGGTTGAAGAATCAGAATATAACTACCACACTCTCTCTCTCTCTCTCTCTCTCTCTCTCTATATATATATATATATATATATATATATATATATAGAGAGAGAGAGAGAGAGAAGAAAACCATATCTCTGTTCAAAATTAGTATTGTTCTCCAGAGTGTTGTAATTTTATTTTACATCAGTATAGAAAATATTGGAGTTCATAATCAAATTATTGCTTGTTGATCAATTCAAATAAGATTCTCAGTTATGAAAACTAAAACTGATTTGTGAATTAATTTCTAATTCAAGCCAATGTGTGCTTTATTATATATGAAAAAAAGTTAGGCAAGAAGTCAAATTAACAACTTGATTATTTTTTCATAAAATTTGTATAAATATGTGTAAAAAAGGATGCATGTCACTATTAAACTTGGGGATAAGCACTGGTTCTAAAATTAGTGATTGGCATCTGAATTTAGAAATAGGCCAAATCTTTTGTTTCATTCTTGTTGTCTACACTATGAATATTAATTATTTATATATTATAAAGGTTTATAAAAAATTCTTGAAATTGTGGATCAATCTTTAAAGCTGATTTCTAGCCATTACTATTGTATAGGATATTAATACGTTTAAATGAATTTAACTGAAATATGTTTAGTGATCAGTTTCACATTTGCACTTAAATATCACACTCTTTAGAATGAAAATAACATCATTCAGTGAAATAATATTTTTCAAATTGTTTTTAAATAAATAAAACTTAATGAATTGGGATTTTTCAGCTACACATCATGTCACCATACTTTTAGTTATTTTTTGTTATAAGCACATTCATCTATGCCAAACACAAATTGTTATTCTTGAATGAAGAATGAAGTTTTATCAAAACATCTTTTTTCATCATTTTTACATTATTTCCTTTTTGATCACTAGTCTTTTGCAAAGCTGGTAGCTATTTGTCTGGTTCAAGTTGCCAACCATGTGCCATTGGCTTCTACCAACCACAAAATATGCAACATGAATGTATGTCATGTCCATTCTCCATGACTACCTTTGAAGAAGGAGCTGACACAGAGTCTCAATGTTTAGGTAAACAAAATTTTTCCTTTTTAGGATCATGCAAAATACTTAAAATTAATTAATTTTTCATGTGTAACTGTAACTTACCTTTAAAGTATATTTGTTAAAACAAAAAATAAGCAAGATTTTATACTTTTAAAACTTTTTGCACAAATACATATGTTATTAAAACTGGAGCCTGAATTATGTATGATAAAAAATAAGGATCATTGTTGCAGGAAGTTATTAGCCTTGTGAGTCTATACAACAAGCTCTTTTCTTTTCATTTGTGAAGGATTCAATTAATTTAGTATTAGTGCAAAATATGAATTGTTGTTTATAGTTTGTGAAATAATATAAAGTGGATTGAGAACTTTCAAAGACAAATTTAAACATTTCAACATGGAAGGAAATGGTACATTAGGAACTAATTCAAAATTTATATACTTTTTGAAAAAGAATATTTTGTATATCCAAGTAATTTTGTTCAAAGTCTCCTTATGAAATTTAGCTACAAATGATGAAGAAAGTCAGAAATTTTGTTAGCTAAGATAAATTTATATTCATAAATAAATTCTTGAAAATTGAATCCATTTACAAAAAACAATGAAAACATTTTATAAAGTAGTTTCAAAACAATTACAAAATGTCTCTATTTTCTTGCAGAAATTTTACTAAGCCAAACCTGTCATCTATATTTTCATTTAAATGATTAAAACTTAATCATAAATAACATTTAATAACAAACATATTTTAACATTATAAAATATCTTTAATCTTGAACCAGATATTTATTATTGATATCTCAAATATTTTCCAATATGAACAGTCTATGATAATATAAGCAGAGAACATTATTTTATAATAATCTTTAATCGTCTTGTAAAATACTAGATCTTTTTTCTCCAGCTCCTTGTGAAGATGGTGAAGAGATGGACTTTTATACTTATCAGTGTAAAAAATGTCCTCGTGGCTTCTTTCGTGATGCCAGATACTCTCTTTTATGCATTCAATGCCCTGTTGGTCACACAACCAGGTATACAGGAAGTATGTATGAATCTGAATGCATTATAACACCAAAAGGTAAGAAATTCCTGACATTTTCTGATTCCTCTTTTCTCTTTCATTTTGCTCCCAGTTTAAATCTTCATGTGTCTCTCCAGCAAATGCAACTTTTGTATGATTATTTTTAAATAATTCTTTGTAATTTTTGTCTCTTTGCTACAACTGTTTCTTTTGTTTTGTCTTTTGTTTCATTCACTTTATTCATTCTTTTTCTCCTTTCAGTGCTTTCTACATCAAATTCACCATCTGTATTGCTTGTCCTTGACATGCAATATGAAGTGAAATATTGCAATTCAGAGAGGAGTCGTATATTGTATGAACAAATCATCACTGAGCACATACAACAACGGCTTCTGGCTTTGTCTGAAATGTGGCAAGGTCTTTGCATCAACAAATGTAATGACATCTTTGTGTCTCTTGTATGTCCTCAGCCAGATATTAATTTTACTTCTGATAACCGCCTGAGACGTACAACAAAATATGCAAATGTGCAAGTTAAAATTTCTGGTACACAGTAAGTAATAACTAATCTGTTAACTTTAAATATATAAATAAACTGATTATACTGCATTTGTAGACAATAATATCTTCACCCTTAAGTGGATTCTAATGTGTTGTTTGATATCTTCATCACCGATCTTCCTGATGTTATCAGTTCCCAACTAGGTATCTATGCAGATGACACAACTATTTACTCCTGTCTTTGTTAGACCTGTTGGGCTTGCTACTAAGTAAAACTGGCAACTACTCTTGAAAAGGACTTGCAATCAATGGCTAACTGGGGCAAGGAATGACTTGTAAATTTTAACACCTCCAAAACAAAACTGCTTTTAATTAATCACCAAAGAGAATCTTTTCTACTTGCCATCAGCATGGCTGATATTAAACTCCAGGAGAGAAATACTTTGCAGCTTCTTGGACTCATGTTTTACACTGATATGAAGTGGAAAGATTATATTGAATCAATTGCTAGGTATGCTTGTTAGCAAACTTGGTTCACTGTGTTGTGCCAGATAATTCTTTTCAACAGAATCCCTTGTACACATTTATAAATCTACCATTCAACCTTGCATTGAATACTGCTGCAATATCTGGTCTAGTGCTCCTATTATATATTTTGCATTTGTTAAAATTCAGAGAAGGGGCCTGTAATGTAATCGATCCTGACCTAGGCATCACAACTTCAGTTACTTTCTCACTAACATGATTTAACTTTGTTTTGCTTTTCAGACAGATACAATTTCTTCCTTTTAACAAGGAAGAAACAAGAGCCCCAGTCTATTTAATCTCTTCCTTGATTATTCTCCACATGTGTACAAACACAGATGTTTAAGAGACAGGCACTGTTCATTTAAGCATTCCATATCACATCCCAAATGAATTTACTAATAGAAAACTGTTCTTGTTTTCCCTCCCAAGTTCAATGTACTGATGATGAAGGAATTGGTGGTGGGGGAGCTATGCAGGTGATACAGATATTCATAGCTGGGATAAGAATGACTTAATGAACAAAAATCAACTTTCTCTATCAAATGTTCCAAGAAGTAAAGATAAACCTTTCCAAAACAGAGACTATGATCTGGAATTGGTATGAAACAGAGACTATGATCTGGAATTGGTATGAAAGCAGTGATGACACATACCCTGAATCAATCATAAAATATAGAATGGGAAATTAATAAATAGTAAATGTTTCAAATACATTGGTGTATGGCTCAGTTATAACAAATTTAGAGATAAATAAAATTATCATAGGCTATACTAGAGCTAATTTTATCCAATATTGCAAGATGCTACAAAACCAAAACCTAGGAACTCAAGTTATGTTCTTAAATAACTTGTCAGATCTAGACTCTCATATAGATCTAGACTCTCATATAGATCTAGACTCTCATATAGATCTAGACTCTCATATAGATCTAGACTCTCATATAGATGTCATGCATAGCATCCAGCTTGATAACAAAATATCTAAACTGTCAGCTGTATACAGCAAATTTCTCAGATTAGAAAGTAATGAACTCTGTACATGTTAGAATGGACTGACCTTCATCAGATCTCATGGACTGATGCTACATTATCCCAAATAAAGAACTTTACCAAATAACAGAAATCATATCACTTGAAGACTTTCAACAACAGCAACAACTAAAATAGATAGCATATATACCTTGAAGAGAAAATAACATAATCAAGATGTTGACTTTCCACACTACTTCAAAGAAAAGGTTAGGAAAGAAACCCATCATCACTACAAGAAATAGTAATAAAAGTTAGTGAAACTGAGAAACCTGTTTTGAGAGAAAGATTTTATAAATTTAATCTGACAGTAATGCTAATTGTTCAGTCAATGAATGCCAAATATTTCTGTATAAGGAAACAGTTAATCTCACCATTACTGTAACACATATATACTTTCAAGGTGTTTAATATTAAACTTATTATATAATAACAAATCTATTAGATAGATTATGATTTCATTCATCAAAGGCTTAGTAATGATGAAGTGTATCTAATCCAGTTTCTTATAATCAGAAAATCCTCCATCTCTAATGAATTATTTACTTTGAGACATTTTAGTGAGTCACTACTGATGCAGGTGTGATAAATTTAGATTAAATGGAATATAGCAGGCATGTTTTTGATATGTGAAAACAGTTATTTAATTTTTTTAAATATATAAATGTGTTTTATACAGGAAAACTTTTAATATGAGACTGCATAAAACAGTAAACATTGTATCCTTTAGCTCTCTGCTTTTACCATTTATCTGTTTGTAAAAATTCTGGTCTGTTGTTAGTCATTATTGTAGGCTTAATTATGTTATTAAGATAATCTAAAGAGAAATACAGAGAACGAACATTGAGCTTTTTTCTGTCAAGGATTTCTTTTCTATTCAAAATAATTTGCTTTATATGATTTATCTGTGTTTTTTATAGATTTACATTACATAAGGCTGAGAAAAATATTAGCCACATGGCTGCCAGTGTAATTGGTCGGGATTGTTCAAGAATTTCCAGATATAGTGTGGTAAGTGGGTTTCCATTTAAGCACTTTGAGCATCATATTTTAATTTTTGTCCTCTATGTTGATAAATATGTTTTAAAATCATATGAAAGTTTTGGTTAATTAACTAGAACAAAGTTGATTAAGAAAAAGGGTGTATGAAGTTAGAGAAAAATTTGTGTATATCTGTATGTTTTCTTTTTTTCCATGTGACATGTAACTTAAGATTGGTTAAGTATATTTATCTTATATTTAATTTACAGTTTGTTTTAGGAAACAATCTAAGTAAATGCCAACATTGTTTTGTTTAATAATCTAATAATTCTAATTATGTTTCTTAAGTTTTCTGTATAATTGTTGTGAGATTTATGAAAATTATTCATACACATTAATGTAATTTAAAAAAAATGTAAGCCATCCTTTTTTCTTTACCAATTTCAAATGGTTTTATTTTTAGGAAAGCCAAAATGTTATCCCAGTATCTGCTTGTACTGCTCGGGTGGAATGTGTATGCCCCTTGGGTCATTTATCAGAAGGTGGAAATGTTACATGTGGTAAGTAGAGAAGCAACAACAGTATTTATACACTTCAGTTTAACTTTTGGATCTTTTTTGCATACTGTGTAAAGTGATAACAGAAAATCTGCCAAGAAATGTAAGAACCTGAATTCAAATTTACTGTTGATGATTTAGCAATGAGTGCAATTTCCATATATTTTTGCATTAGTAAATTGCTTTCTCTATTGATTAAAGAAGCATTTTTTTTTAAATCAAAATTATGGTCAAACTTACTATGATGAGAAACTAATGTGTTCAGTGTGTTGTTTTGCAAAAGATCTCTTTAGTGTCCATATAATCTTTTATTTAAATTCATTGAGGTTTCTCCTATGTATTACTTGTGGAAGTCATTACAGGCTATAGAGTAAATTTCTGTTTTAGATTGTTATTATTTTGTATTAAGTCTCTTATTGTTTCAATAGTTGTAACAAATTTTACATTATGCTTAGATAAATTCTGTTCAATTGTAGTTGTGATAGTTGGTAGGTAGTATAATGTATCTCATTTCTTATCAATAGTTATTTTATCGTTCATTCTTTTATTTTTTAAATTTGAGCTTTCAGTTTTGGACTGAATATGAAATAATTAGGTTATTGGAGAAACGTATTTTCAATGTATTTCTCCTCTTGAAAATATTGTGGACTACAAATTATGAGTGCACTTAAATAGAATTCAGTAATTATTTCAGATTTTATTTTGTTATGGTAAGAATAGAAATTTACAAGATCATTTTTATTAGAAGATTTATGATACACTTAATTCTAGGTCATTATTAGTATGGTTTAACATATCACTGAAAGGTAATGTTTTGTTTGTTTGTTTCTGTTTCATAAGTAAATTCTATCATATGCTCAACTTTGTTTAGTTTATTTGCAAGATCAAGTAATATTGTTTTGTAGGGATTTATCAACAAAACATCATCAATATAACCATTTCAAATGTCCAGCTTCCCAAAGAATAGCAGGATACAGACAAAGGAATTCTAACTACCACACAGACACCACATTGGTTCTTGATAATGAGTGTGAAAGTCAAATGTATTTGAACAAAAATAACAAAGTATGAACTTCAGACAGTTTATCCACAACTTTGAGCACAATACTCAACGTCTCATCTGAAAATTGAAAAAATATAATAAAAATTAGACAGACCTTATCGGTTCTCTTTAAAAATCAACTTGTTTGGAGATACACTAGAAATGTGAACAAAACAATTATCTATTTAATTAAAAATATTGATTTTTGTTTAAATTGTATCATATTGTTTTTGAACAAATAGACTAAAATTATAATCATGAAAAAAAATGAAATTATAACATGAAAAAAACAATTTTATTGAATTTTTTATGGTAAAAGCTAAAGGAGATAAACTCATTATTTAAAATTATAGTAATATATGAAGTTATTTATTTTTTAAATACTTTGAATTAATTATTTTTTATATATATTTATATATATAACTTCAGATATAACTAAAAATATTGAATAAAGACAAAATGAAAACTTATATTTGCTGACACATTTCATCCACCTGACATCAAATGACTTATTCATTTATTTGTCATCAGGAGAAACTAACTAAAGGCTGAACAGACATTGTGTCTATGTTTAAATGAATGATTGCTGCCTAAATATATCATGTTTAATATATATATATGTGTGTGTGTGTGTGTGTGTAATTCTTTTCTAAATCCTTCTAAGACTGTCAACATTCTTAATGAATAAATAAAAAGAGAGTTACCTATTTTCTTGTTGCAGAAATTGTCAAAAATTATGGTTTAACATTTTTGTTTTGGATGTGTTTATTTTGGAAAGCAAAAGTTTGTACTCCCTATATAGTACAGATTGATTAAACTACTATCATTATTATTGATTATTAATGCTTGTCTTTTGATTATATCCTTCATATAATTTTTTTTCTTAATGCCTCATTTTTTTTTCCTACTCATTGAATTTATAAATGCACAAGTATGTAAATGTTATCAGTGTAAGAAAACATTTACTTACATTATCTGTTATCATTTAAATTTGCAAGGATTTATCACAGATGTTTTTTTTTTTTTTTCAGGTTATGGCTGTATTCCTTGTCCAGTTGGTAAATTTCATAATCTAGATATGCAAACATGTGACTCATGTCCTGTCTCCTACTATCAAGATGAAACAGGAAAAACTGCTTGCAAAAGGTGTGCAGGAACATCAAAAACATCAACTGAGGGAGCGACTTCGTCTTCTCAGTGTATAGGTGAGAAAAATATTTCTGGGTTTCATTTAAAATATTCAGCATTTTAATATGAATTAAATTGCTTTAATTATAAAGTATTATATTTCTGTATTCTGATTATCAATAAATCATAATAATAATAAATTTTAGAAGCCAGTCTCTTTGTTCTGGTTCACATTTAATGTCCATTTAATGTTTCCAGGATGTTTTACCCTTTATCAATCTCTTTTTCTATAAGCTGTTAGATAGCTAGATTTGTGTTTATTAAAAAACCTATTTGCAATTTTTATTATAATGTGAGCATTATCTATAATAGTTTTAAAATAGGATTTGTACTTCTAATTCAGAATAACACAGTGCTTAATATAAGTTGACTAAAAAAAAACTATGATGAGATAAGTATGCAACAAGTATTATATTGCAGAAAAAATATATATACAGTTTATATTTAAATTGATTTTTACTACAAATTTTTTTTGTTTTAATATTTTTTTCAAGTGGAAATTATTGTTCATTTAGCAAAAACCCCAATGGGGTTCTTTTAGGATAATAGAACATGAAACAAATTACCAAAGTTACATCTCTGAGATTTTGGAAAAAAATTGACATCATACAGAACAAGACTTAATAACAAAAATTAAAAAGTTCTTTTGATAAAATCTGATAACTGCACAGACAAAGATGAATGTATATAGTCACAAGCACACAAGTAAATACATGGATACGTCTTCAGTTCAACAATGAAATCATTTGTAACTCCTTGATTCTTTCTCAGATAATTTATATATTTTTATATGAAAAATATGTATATTCCATTGATTGTCTTTTCTATTCCAAACATGATTGAAATAATCTTTTTTTAACTTTGATTTTCTTCTCAAAAATATATCTTTGTCTTTCTTTTATTACTCATCCAAAAATATTTTCAAACTGTTTAATACACCTTTCCTTTTGAATCATATTTACAAATAATTATTTTTGTTTTGATCCTTTGTTTATAGTTGAATATAATTATGTTTCATTTTGAAATCCAAGTGAAATAAATCTGCAACAAATAAGGAAATATTTTCTTTAATCAGTAGAATGAACAAGAAGTTGAATCATAAGACTGACGTTTTGGACTGTCCAAATAGAGAGCTGACTGACTTGATGTAGAGTTTGATGTCATGGACAACATTCCAAATCTGAAGTGAAGGAAAAAAGTTGATTATTTTAGAAAAATATCAACTGAAATATAATTAAAAAGATTCACATAAAAATAGGCCTATAAATCAAAGTAAAGACATTCAAACATTAGTTATATGAAGGAAATTTCCTTTATTTTAAATAAGAAAGAAAAGTTGTCATAAATAGGACTGAACCTCTACAATCTGAATAGAAAATATTTAACAACAAAATAATTTCAGGTGAATTGGGTATGTTAAACTAAACATAATTTGATGGAGTAGGTTTTGAGTACACACAGAATTCATTAAAATGATTCATATAAGTATTGAAATTTATTCAAGTTCTGTTGTATCAAATCTGGGAATATTTAGGCAAACTGAAATTTTTAAGGAAACAAAAATGACATAGTATCATCAGAATGCATAAGTATAATGTAAATTTCTCTTAAGAAGAATGTATATTGCATTTGCATCTTCATTGACAGGATCAATTTCTCATAATTTAAACTGGGTTATTTTTTATATTTTCAGAGGACACAAAAATGACAATTATTGGAACTGCTATAGGAGTTTTCTTGGCAATTCTTTTATTAATTCTTTTGTTGACAGTCCTCTTCATCTATTATAGGTAAGTCCTGATGGTCAATGATTATGAAACGTATTTTACAAAATAACTAATAGTATATTCAAGAAACATAATACACTACTGTTCTCGCTTTTTATGATATGTAGAGATAGCTAGAAAGGTGAATGTTATGTAGGTGTATATACATACATAGATGTCTTAACTATTTCAATTATCTAACTTTTTTCTTTGGTTGTAGGAAAAATGTTTTAGTAATTCTGACCAAACACTTAATGGCTATAGGTTGTTGCCCCTGATACAATGGGTTGATTTCTCAAATACTACATGATTTGATTGTTTAAACCAAAAGAAGAAAGGCACTGTCCAACTTCTGTAAAAAAGGAAACATTTAGAAGTCACATGAAACTGAAATCTGCAGAGTCACTGATGGTGTGGAGATGAAAGTTCTGGAGATTACTCCAGAGAATAAAATGCACAAGACCAAAAATTTCAATGTCTTTTACATGTTAACTGTAGAAGTATTTTATCACAGAGTAAGAGCAATATTTGATGTTATGCATAGCATTTAGTAAATATTGATGGGTTTCTTCACAAATTCTTGAGACATGTTAACATCAGAAGGTGGCATCTGCTTTTCAAAATCTTGTTCATAAATATTATCTTTTTTTTAGATTTTCATTAAACTGTACACCTTTATGTTTCTAAATGTTCTTTTTAGTTTTAAATCTAAGAATCAATTTGGTTTATTTGATCTGACCAAAATCTTCATCTATGTTATTTCATTTCTTTTTCTTTTGATCAGTATAATTTCTAAAATTCGTTTTTTCTTTGTTTTAGAAAACACAAAAAGGCTGAAATGCAAAAGGCTATTCGAACAACTTCCAATGAACCCTATGTCGATCCCCTTTACAAAAATAAATACAATTCAGCTCGAAGTCTTCAGTCAAGCCGCTTGTGGATGCGAAGCAAAGGTGGTCCAACAAACACTCGCATTTCTTCACATTATGTAGCACCACATGTCAGAGATCACCATAATGACAATGACAACCTTTTATAAATTAACATTTTCTTTTCTAAGAAACTTTCCCTCTAACCTATCTCTATCTCTGCTTCTCTTTATTTTCTCTCAATGTCTATTTCTGACATTAGGAGCAGCATACCATGGTAATGTTAGCTTTAAACAAAGAACCATCAAAACACCAACACTGTCAAATTGGTAGCAGACTGGTTTGGTTTCCATCTCAAGTTCCCTTCAGAAAAAAGTCCTGATTTTATTTAGAAACAATTTGAATCGGAACGTGACAAAAAAACATTCTGAATTCTTGTGAGATATTAGATTTATTTTGTATTTGTGAGTTTTGGGGCTTGAGTGAAAATGTTATGAAATTTAATTGAGACTGACTAAATAGAAGTTTGTGAAAGTTTTGATTCAATATCGATGAGTTATTTGTGAATTTGGGATAGATGATCTGATGTATAGAGGGAATAATAGAGAAGAGATTGTCTAGTCTTGATTTCACACCCTAAATTGTATGGCATTAGACATCTGACTACTGAAGATAAGATTATGTAAATTATTAAATTTGATAGCATGTTTAATTTTATTATTTCATATATATTTGATGTGTTCATTTTGTGTTATGGACTAAATCTGTCTTAAACCTTAGAATAGACTTGAAAAATGCAGCATGGAAGTAAGGATGTCTGATTTATATCTATTACAAATTTTGTATAGTATTCATAGGTCTGTAATAAGTTAATGATAAAGAGCTAATAGGAATATATGCCAAATACTGAAGTGTATGTGTAATGTCTATCAGGACTGCATGTCTTTGAAAAAGTACTTAACTACTTAAAAGTGTTAAAAAGTGATGAATTAAAGAATATTCTAGTTTGGAAAGCATGTTCAATGCTAGTTTTTAACATATTTGTAAAGCTTCAAATTAGTACAACTGAAAAAAAAAATGAAATCTTTTCATTATCTAATTATCTTTAGAAACTGATTTGTAACCAATCAATAAACAATTTAAATGTTTTCAAATTTTAACACACCAAGTAAATGTCAAAAAGGAAACATATTCATAACTAACATCTAAAAATAAATATTTATTAAAATAGCTGATGATTACAAAAATTGAAAAAAAGATTTAATTCTTTTTAAATACAAAAATATTAATTCCACTTTTTAAATGACCAAATTTTTTTGGTTTATTGAAAGTAATGTTATATAATATGAACTGAGATTGGAGAGATATTTGCACAATAAATATAACAATGTTTTATTGCTTTGAAATGTATTATTGTTGTTTTTACTTTTTAAAATTTAAAGAAAATGATTTATTTTTAAAGCTAGTTTGCAACTAGATGTTTTAAGATGAATCTTGAAGAATTGTTTTTCCTTTCATAATGGAATTAAAAAAAAATCCATTTCAGCAGCAAAGATGAATGCTAAATTTTCATTATTAAAATATAATAAAATAAAATGTCTCAATGAGATTCACTGTTTAAATTTTGGGGAAAAAAATTGACAGATATGATGTTTTCATCTTGCAGACAATATTGGTGCATATCTCTTTCAAAGCAAACAAAACTATCAGAAATTAGAAAACTAAAAAGCGTGTATTTATATTTCAGTGTGATACAACTATATAATGCTGTATTTGGTTAATTATAACTCTTTTTAAAATTGAATTACTTGAGACATTGTGTGAATTTGGGACTGAAAAATGTTTCTTTCACTACATCATTTGCTTTAATCTAAAGACAATATACAATTTTTGTAACCTAAGAGGGTCATTAGAGCTCATTTTGTGATTTTTATCAATGTCCTTTAGTAATTGAAATAATAATCAACTTTTTTCATGTGAGTGAGAACTGTAAAACTCACAGCATCTAATATGTTATATTTCTAGTGCAGTTGCTCTAAATTGAAGACTTCATCAATGTGCATGCCTTAGGATTTTCTAATAAAGATTTTGATGGAAAAAAGCTATGAACATGCTCTTTATTTCTTTAACCTCAATTCAGAACAAATTAACATAAATTACTTTTATTTTCAAATAATCATTTTGCAATTTGACTGAAGTGGCTGTCATATTTATGAGGCAATATTTTGTTATAAATTTTTATAGCTTGACTTTTATGGTTCAAGAAAGGTTTCTACTGAATCCTCCTATTTACTATAAAACAGTAATAGTTAATTCTAATGATTTTCTTCCTATAAATTGCTTTATGTGGATATCAATATGAAAAGAACAAATCTAGCAGTATAATCTAAAAATATGTACCAATAAAATAAATAAAACTTTTAATTTGATTGCTTTGCATAAATCTTAACTTTTAATCAAAGTTCTTTATGTAAGGAAGAGAGAAGCTATATTTGAATGCTAACTGATGATTTTTAAGACAGCTTGAAAATACTTCACAAATGAGTCTGGGTTAGTTACTCTTTACTTTCTACAGTGTGATTCTATTTAGATTAATGGCCAACTAAGTTATCATGATTTTGGTTCCGTCATTAAAACAAATATGCAATCAATAATTCGTTAATATTAACAATTACAATAGAAAATGAAAATTGCAGCAAGGTTGACTTAAAAAAGAATTTAATTATAAAATTTATTTGATAAATTAACAATGATATGGTGAATTGGTAATATGAAGGGTTAATATTAAAATCAAAACCTATTTGTGAAGAGTTATTATTGTCGGTTTAGTTTTGTAAATTAACATTTTGATGACTTTGATTCAAGAAAAGTCAGTTATTTTCAAATATTCCTTAAAATTAAGTCATACATTTTACTTTTTAGTCTTTATTTTCTTTAAATTTTTACAAAATGCAAAGAATGTTTTCATGAAACAATTTGTATAGTTATATTAACATTATTCTAAAATAATTCTAATATTTTACAATATATAGAACGGTATGCAACAGATTTCTCTACATATATAATGTCATACGTGTGTGTTTGTTTGTGTATGTATGTGTGTGTATATATATATATATATATATACACACACACATATACAAAACAAACACATGTATGACATTGTATGTGTGTGTGTGTATATATATATATATATATATATATATATATATATATATATATATATATATATACACACACACACACACACATGCATACATACATACATACATACACAATTATACTAAATAATAAACACACAACATTTAGGACAAAATTTTATTTATATTATAACTTTTATCTTAAGAATGTATGGAGATTATATTAAAGTTTGAATTATCAGCCAATTAGATAATCTAAATATTCTATGAATCCAGAATGGTGAAAAACTTTTAGCATGAAAATAAAAAAATTGAATGGAATAAATTAATGTTTACATCTTGATAAGATAAATGACTTATATGACATTAGATAATGAAGACTTTGTAAATTGTTTTTTGAAAAAGAAAACCTTGGATAAATAGAAAAAATTCTTCCCAGTGAAAGTGTTGAATATGGAATAACAAATGAAAAGCTCCATTAAATGAAATAAAAACAAGAAAAAAAACTATAAAGTACTTCTCTTTCATACAAGAACTTTCTAAGAAAGTTATATACCCAGTTATAAACACATTTTTTATAAGCTGTTAAAAAATTTTTCTTGGATGATCTGTTCTATTGCTAATGAGACCTTGGGTATTTATTAACAGATGTATTTAATAGCTTTAATCCCAGAAAAACTCAATATAGGAAGAAAATAAGATATCAAAAAGAGTTGAAAGTCTCCAAATCTATATGATTTTCATTGTTGACTGTAGTGTTTTTTGTAATAGCTATATTATCTGATTTTTAGTAGACTCCTGATCTGTAATAATAAAGGTCCTTTTTCAGGAGTTAATTCAAGGGCATCTGAGTGTCTGACATTTTTATTGTTTTTATTGATTTTGCTTCTTTTTTTTTTTCATCAAGTTAGTTTCAATGATTTAGTAGAGAGTATGGAATAAATGAAATTGGCTAGAAAATAAAAATCCTTACCTATCCAATACAGAAAACATCTAGTAATTTCATGAGTTATCACCAGACTTTTGCTTTTACTGATGAAATTAACTTTGAATGTGCATTTTTACTGTTTAAAAATGATTGCTAGACAAAAACGATTTTGATAACCACAAAGTTGTATAGACTTCAACAATATTTATGAAGAAGATACTTTTATTAAAACACTGTAAACTCACTGTTTGGAAACAAGTTTTAAAGTATAATCATGATATAGAACAGAGGTTCTTAAACTTTTTTCCTCCAGCATAATATCTGATTGTGTTTGTGTGTTCTTTGAGAAAATGTTATAGTACTCAAAGCAAATTTTTCTATAGGGAAAAAGCACAAAAGGTTGATGAACTTTTAATACATGAAACTTGATTGCA